GTCGATGCAATATTCACAGATTTGGTTTCTTTCAGTTAACTTCCCCGTTGCATTTATCCATATGCTGAGGAAATGACTATATCCCGCTGAATACCAGCAATCGCCACACACACTTCCTCCTGTCAGTAGCTACTGCTAGTGCTACTGCTACTGACCATGCTACAGATGTTAGTGCAACATCTCCAGCTCCTCTACCACAACCATCAGCAACAAGTGGACATGGAGAATTACATGAACTACATGTTGCTAAATCCACCGCGGGGCATAAACAGAAGGGTAGCCATGGCAACCATGCTCCGGGGTCTTCTTCGCTGCTTTTGGTGTATTTTGTGGCGGAAGTTACAGCGCCACTTACAGTCCCGGCATATGTACTACAGCGTTTCCAGCGGCCTCGTTTGAACAGACACGTTAAATGAAACGAATGCATGTGAACGGAAGACTTTTTTGAATACGCATACTGTGTATAAACGCAAACGTTCCCGTGTGCACAACGCCTTAATCTGAACGTTTCTACGTCTGACCTCAGTCCTCCCAGAAACTGAGGCTTCCTTCCAAACAACCGCGCTGCCGTAGTATTTATAGTCCCAACAGAGAGGTGCAGTGAGGACGTATCTCTGTGTTGGACCCTGAAGGCAGCGTGTTATCAGAATCTAGTATTCAACTCACTCGTGTAATAACGTGTTTTAACCTCTTAAGCCCTGAGCCTGTTTTTCAGGTTACAGGCTCGAAAATGACATTCCCAGAACAAATGACCATATCTTCACTTCTAAAAGGGGCAAATTAATAATCTTTTTTCTCAAAGCAATGATAAACCTGTGAGTTGGATGTAGAAAAGTCAGAATCAATATAGATGTTTTTATTTTAAAACTGTTAAACAATACAAAATAGGGATGTGGCTTCCATCTATTGCACCAACACGCTGTGGTGCTCTCCAACGGTTGTTGAAAAAAGTGGCCATTTCCACCAACTTCTCCACATCAGGACATTTGATATGTAGTGGAAGCAGCATTTCCATGGTTGCCCTGCACAAATCCTAGCAGTGATGATACCTGTATTAACCTGTGACGCCCTGAGCAATGATAAACCTGTGAGTTGGATGGAGAAGTGTCAGAATCAATATAGAATTTATGTTAAAGTCAATTCAGATTGAACATAGTAAAAAAATGTAAATGATAGTGTCCGTCCAAAAATAAACCATTACTTATAGTGAAAGCCACCCTTGAATGATGGGATAGTAGACTAAAAGCTTTAGGAATCCAAACTATAACATATAATAAGTACCCTGTATCAAGATTGATGCAAAACAAGTGACATTTGACCTTTTAGAGAGGTTTAGCAAAAATAACCCACTTCTGGGGTCATTTGGGTGGAAATGGGTGTATTTGCTGTTTTCTCTGGAACCCATTGGTCGATTTTGATGATTGACATCTCTTTTGAACCGTTAGAGCCAATAGAATCTAGGGGGAGTTCCTAAATCCGGAATGGAAATGGAAAGAAAATGTAAAACTTTCCATTGAGAAGTGAAAGTGATGCGCACGCAGTCGAAACCTAACTTACGCTCTGACATCTGAAAACTTAAAACTAGGTTTATTGCTGATGGATTATCAGAAATCATTTCAAAGAGACACAGACACATTGGATTAACCTATGGATTAACCTTCAGCAGTGATTTTATCGTTTTAATGCCATTGAACACAACTTTTGATCAGAACAACAGCAAAGGTAAGACATATTGCCGTGTTGGCTACCTAAAGCTACGTGGTGTGATGTCTGTGTTAGCTTCCCATGTCGCTCAGTGATGACACTTATATATCTAGAATCTGTGGAATCTCAGTTTGCTAATCGATATCTTATTTGTGCAGATCCGATAAGTAATAAAGTATTTATACCGTCAGTTCTGTGCTAAGGGTGTTAGCATTTTTTCGCTCAGGGCTCATTTAGACGCTTCTTGTGAGACTTGTGTTTTGTTTCGGTAAAAATGGTTCGTATCGTCAGTTAGCTGAGTTTCTTCCCGTCAGACGCTGTTTCTTGCAGATGTTGCGTTTTTGCCCCCGCCCGTGGGTCCGTGGGGCTCAACCTGTTTTAACCAAATGTCTCTCAGAGGGGCGTGGGGAGGGGCTCCTTATTTTCATCTAAAGTAACAGACAGAGAATCAGCACTTTGGAAACAGGGCTGAAACAGAGGGGATTATGGGTAATGCTGCAATGATCTGTTTGGTGTTTCAGCCAATCAGAGACAGGCTCTGGATATATCTGAGACCTGTGATATATTGATGAAAAACATTATAATAGGGGACCTTTAATATATAAATCCCTTACTCATCCCTCCCCAGTCCCCATCATCAAGGTGCCCCCCCACAGCCAGGTGAACGGGACAGGAAGTAGCCTGGCGTTCCTCTGCGAGGTCTTTGCATTCCCGATGGCTCTGGTGGAGTGGAGGAAGGAGGGCCGGGATGTGGTGCTGCCCGGGGACGACCCCCACATCTCAGTACAGGTGAGTGTCCACCTGTAGTTTCAAGTTTCAAGTCTTTATCATCATGTAGCAGTTACAGTGTAGATATGACAATGAAAAACTGAAGTCAGGCTGCTCCAACAGAGCAACATGAATATATATAGGACATAAAACTAATAAAATAGTGCAGTAACCAACAGAGTGGTACAGGGATGTAGTATTTCTGTGCTAACATTAGGCTATAAAGGAACTACAGCGCGGTCACATGACTTCACGTCACCACCGCTAAGCTAAAGGTGGCTAATGTTGGGCTATAAAGGAACTACAGCACGGTCCCATGACTTCACGTCACCACCGCTAAGCTAAAGGAGGCTAATGTTGGGCTATAAAGGAACTACAGCACGGTCACATGACTTCACGTCACCACCGCTAAGCTAAAGGTGGCTAATGTTGGGCTATAAAGGAACTACAGCACGGTCACATGACTTCACGTCACCACCGCTAAGCTAAAGGAGGCTAATGTTGGGCTATAAAGGAACTACAGCACGGTCACATGACTTCACGTCACCACCGCTAAGCTAAAGGTGGCTAATGTTGGGCTATAAAGGAACTACAGCACGGTCACATGACTTCACGTCACCACCGCTAAGCTAAAGGTGGCTAATGTTGGGCTATAAAGGAACTACAGCACGGTCACATGACTTCACGTCACCACCGCTAAGCTAAAGGTGGCTAATGTTGGGCTATAAAGGAACTACAGCACGGTCACATGACTTCACGTCACCACCGCTAAGCTAAAGGTGGCTAATGTTGGGCTATAAAGGAACTACAGCACGGTCACATGACTTCACGTCACCACCGCTAAGCTAAAGGTGGCTAATGTCGGGCTATAAAGGAACTACATCACGGTCACATGACTTCACGTCACCACCGCTAAGCTAAAGGTGGCTAATGTTGGGCTATAAAGGAACTACAGCACGGTCACATGACTTCACGTCACCACCGCTAAGCTAGTAGAACAACATGTTAAAATCTCTTCAGCTTGTATTAACCACAGACCTTACTTCAAGATAACAACTAAAAACACATTCAGAAAACCATTGACCTCCAGACCAGGGGACAGGAAGTGATGAAATGCTGACTTATCTCAGGGTTTAGGACTCATTCCTGCACCTCTCTATCAGAGCCTCCGGACTCTCCTCTGGTCTCACACCTGTCGTCTCTCCTCAGTCTAGGGGCGGGCCTCTGAAATTCGAGCTCTCCAGTTGGCTGCAGATTGAGGGGGCGGGGCCAGAGGACTCTGGGACCTATCGCTGCGTCGCTCACAACGACATGGGGTCGGTGTCTGCGTCCGCTGTACTGGGAGTACTGGGAGCAGGTGAGACATCTCATTCATCTGACGCTTTTACCCAGAGCACGTCGTTAACCTGTTGAGCCCCACCGGGCGGAAAAACGCATCATCTGCAGGAAACAGTGTCTGAGGGCTTCTTAATATTGAATAAACTATGAATGTTTCACATCCATGTAACGGGAAGAAACTCAGCTAACTGATCTTTTTTTTTTTTTTTTTTGCAAAAAACCCCACAAAGCTAACGCTGACCCTCTGAATTAGCCACGAGCGAAAAAATGCTAACGGCGTTTGCACAGAAATTCACTCATAACACCCTTATTACTTATCATAACTGCACATCCAACCCCTCGATTAGCATCGTGAGAAGACACAGAATCGATGGGTACCTACATTATCACTCCATGATAAGAACTCGCGACATCATAAACAAAAACAGACATCATAACACGTGGCGCTAGGTAGCTAAAACGGCAATATCTCTTACCTTGGTCGTTGTCTGGTCAAAAGTGGTCTTCAATGGCATTAAAACGATAAAAAGGTTAATGCAATGTGTCTGTGTCCCTTTGAAATGATTTCTGATAATCCATCAGCAATAAACCTACTTTTCCCGTTTCAGATTTCAGAGCGAGAGATAGGTTTCGGTTTACGGCCAACTGCATGCGCGAAGCCCCCACTTTTTTTTGGTAACGTTGGTGTGTATGTGGAAATCCCCCTTCGATTCTATTGGCTCTAACGGTTCAAAAGAGATGTCAATCATCAAAATCGACCAATGGGTTCCAGAGAAACGGCAAAAACGCCCATTTCCACCCAAATCACCTCAGAGGTGGAGTTTCTTTTTGCTAAATCTCTCTAAAAAGGTAAAATGTCACTTGTTTTGCATCAATCTTGATACAGGGTACTTATTATATGTTGTACTTTGGATTCCTAAAGCTTTTAGTCTACTAACCCATCATCCAAGGGTAGTTTTCACTATAAGTACAAAAGAATGTTTGGACGGACACTATCATTTACAGTTTTTTACTATGTTCAATCTGAATTTTCTTTAAAATAAAAAACATCTATATTGATTCTGACTTTTCTACATCCAACTCACAGGTTTATCATTACTTTGAGAATACAGATTATTAATTTAACCCTTTTAGAAGATATGGTCATTTGTTCTGGGAATGTCATTTTCGAGCCTGAGACCTGAAAAACAGGCTCAGAGTTTAACAGGTTAAAGAAGGTTGAGTCCCAGTGTCTCAGTTCAGACGCACTAAAAGATTCAGTCTGTCTGCTATTTGTTAAAAAAGTCATAATTCCCATATGTGTTATATTGAACTAAAATAAAAAATGATACTGACCTTGTTTCTGTAAGACGATTTAAAGAAACGTTTAACAATTAAATTGTCTCGTCAGCGTTTTTCACACAGATCTGTCTCCTGGGCATTGTGGGAATTGTAGTTTTATTTAATTTAAAAAGGAAACAATTCAATTATCATATACTGTATATTTCATCCCCCCTCATGCTTTTGCGCAACAAACAAACAAACAAACAAACAAAGACTCCCCTACACACACACACACACACACACACACACACACACACACACACACACACACACACACACACACACACACACACACACACACACACACACACACACACACACACACACACACACACACACACACACACACACACACACACACACACACACACACACACACACACACACACACACACACACACACACACACACACTCATCCCGTCTACAGAGTTTCGTAAATGGTGCTCCATATTATGTTGAATTGTTTTTCCTTATCACTGTCTTCTGACATTGTGGTGTGTTCAATTTGCAATAATTAATTTTCCACGTGTGTAGGGCAGCTGCTTCCTTACTTTCAGTTTAGTCAAACGGTATTTGCCCTCCAGTTGGGTTCCTTATTTTCTGGGTATGTTCTGCTGTGTATTTTATAGTTGCATGTTTTTGAAGTCCTTTCAATTTAGCTACAGTTCCAAAAGGCACGTATGAGGGGAAGTGTAGTTTTTAATCTCGTGATCAGAGAGGGCAAGAATAAACACATCCTCTACTCAAGTAGAAGTACACATACTCTGTTTAAAAATACTCTGGTAAAAGTAGAAGTACTGACTAAACTTCTTTCACTCAAGTGAAAGTAAAGAGGCTTTGAAATGTACTTCAGTAAAAAGTACCCATAACTAGCAGCTGTTTTAAAGAGTACCTGACCTCCCTTTATATTAATAGAACAATAATGTCATTGTTAGCTAATGAATGTTTCCATGCTGAACAACGGCAACATGACAACGTTTTCATTGGTCCCTCTTCTTTAGAGAAGACCAGGAAATGATGGATACACGGATCGTGTTCAAATCAATAGGCACGCAATGACTCTAAATAATAATGATCACGCCACCAAACACACATTCAAACTAAAGGAACCAGCCTGTTTGGGAAATGTGAGAAGTAGAAAGTACAGGTATTTGTGTTCAACATGTAAGAAGTAGAAAGTACAGGTATTTGTGTTCAACATGTAAGAAGTAGAAAGTACAGGTATTTGGGTTCAACATGTAAGAAGTAGAAAGTACAGGTATTTGTGTTCAACATGTAAGAAGTAGAAAGTACAGGTATTTGTGTTCAACATGTGAGAAGTAGAAAGTACAGGTATTTGTGTTCAACATGTAAGAAGTAGAAAGTACAGGTATTTGTGTTCAAAATGTAAGAAGTAGAAAGTACAGGTATTTGTGTTCAACATGTAAGAAGTAGAAAGTACAGGTATTTGGGTTCAACATGTAAGAAGTAGAAAGTACAGGTATTTGGGTTCAACATGTAAGAAGTAGAAAGTACAGGTATTTGAGTTCAACATGTGAGAAGTAGAAAGTACAGGTATTTGGGTTCAACATGTGAGAAGTAGAAAGTACAGGTATTTGGGTTCAACATGTAAGAAGTAGAAAGTACAGGTATTTGGGTTCAACATGTAAGAAGTAGAAAGTACAGGTATTTGTGTTCAACATGTGAGAAGTAGAAAGTACAGGTATTTGTGTTCAACATGTAAGAAGTAGAAAGTACAGGTATTTGGGTTCAACATGTGAGAAGTAGAAAGTACAGGTATTTGGGTTCAACATGTAAGAAGTAGAAAGTACAGGTATTTGTATTCAACATGGAAGAAGTAGAAAGTACAGGTATTTGTGTTCAACATGTAAGAAGTAGAAAGTACAGGTATTTGTGTTCAACATGTAAGAAGTAGAAAGTACAGGTATTTGAGTTCAAAATGTAAGAAGTAGAAAGTACAGGTATTTGTGTTCAACATGTAAGAAGTAGAAAGTACAGGTATTTGTGTTCAACATGTAAGAAGTAGAAAGTACAGGTATTGTGTTCAACATGTAAGAAGTAGAAAGTACAGGTATTTGTGTTCAACATGTAAGAAGTAGAAAGTACAGGTATTTGGGTTCAACATGTGAGAAGTAGAAAGTACAGGTATTTGGGTTCAACATGTAAGAAGTAGAAAGTACAGGTATTTGGGTTCAACATGTAAGAAGTAGAAAGTACAGGTATTTGGGTTCAACATGTAAGAAGTAGAAAGTACAGGTATTTGTGTTCAACATGGAAGAAGTAGAAAGTACAGGTATTTGTGTTCAACATGGAAGAAGTAGAAAGTACAGGTATTTGTGTTCAACATGTAAGAAGTAGAAAGTACAGGTATTTGGGTTCAACATGGAAGAAGTAGAAAGTACAGGTATTTGTGTTCAACATGTAAGAAGTAGAAAGTACAGGTATTTGAGTTCAAAATGTAAGAAGTAGAAAGTACAGGTATTTGAGTTCAAAATGTAAGAAGTAGAAGTACAGGTATTTGTGTTCAACATGTAAGAAGTAGAAAGTACAGGTATTTGTGTTCAAAATGTAAGAAGTAGAAAGTACAGGTATTTGTGTTCAACATGTAAGAAGTAGAAAGTACAGGTATTTGTGTTCAACATGTAAGAAGTAGAAAGTACAGGTATTTGTGTTCAAAATGTAAGAAGTAGAAAGTACAGGTATTTGTGTTCAAAATGTAAGAAGTAGAAAGTACAGGTATTTGGGTTCAACATGTAAGAAGTAGAAAGTACAGGTATTTGGGTTCAACATGTAAGAAGTAGAAAGTACAGGTATTTGTGTTCAAAATGTAAGAAGTAGAAAGTACAGGTATTTGTGTTCAACATGTGAGAAGTAGAAAGTACAGGTATTTGTGTTCAACATGTAAGAAGTAGAAAGTACAGGTATTTGGGTTCAAAGTGTAAGAAGTAGAAAGTACAGGTATTTGTGTTCAACATGTAAGAAGTAGAAAGTACAGGTATTTGTGTTCAACATGTAAGAAGTAGAAAGTACAGGTATTTGTGTTCAAAGTGTAAGAAGTAGAAAGTACAGGTATTTGGGTTCAAAGTGTAAGAAGTAGAAAGTACAGGTATTAGTGTTCAACATGTAAGAAGTAGAAAGTACAGGTATTTGTGTTCAAAGTGTAAGAAGTAGAAAGTACAGGTATTTGGGTTCAACATGTAAGAAGTAGAAAGTACAGGTATTTGGGTTCAACATGTAAGAAGTAGAAAGTACAGGTATTTGTGTTCAAAGTGTAAGAAGTAGAAAGTACAGGTATTTGTGTTCAACATGTAAGAAGTAGAAAGTACAGGTATTTGTGTTCAACATGTAAGAAGTAGGAAGTACAGGTATTTGTGTTCAAAGTGTAAGAAGTAGAAAGTACAGGTATTTGAGTTCAACATGTAAGAAGTAGAAAGTACAGGTATTTGTGTTCAACATGTAAGAAGTAGAAAGTACAGGTATTTGTGTTCAACATGTAAGAAGTAGAAAGTACAGGTATTTGTGTTCAACATGTGAGAAGTAGAAAGTACAGGTATTTGTGTTCAAAATGTAAGAAGTAGAAAGTACAGGTATTTGAGTTCAACATGTAAGAAGTAGAAAGTACAGGTATTTGTGTTCAACATGTAAGAAGTAGAAAGTACAGGTATTTGTGTTCAACATGTAAGAAGTAGAAAGTACAGGTATTTGTGTTCAACATGTGAGAAGTAGAAAGTACAGGTATTTGTGTTCAAAATGTAAGAAGTAGAAAGTACAGGTATTTGAGTTCAACATGTAAGAAGTAGAAAGTACAGGTATTTGTGTTCAACATGTAAGAAGTAGAAAGTACAGGTATTTGTGTTCAACATGTAAGAAGTAGAAAGTACAGGTATTTGAGTTTCAACATGTAAGAAGTAGAAAGTACAGGTATTTGAGTTCAACATGTAAGAAGTAGAAAGTACAGGTATTTGTGTTTCAACATGTAAGAAGTAGAAAGTACAGGTATTTGTGTTTAAAATGTAAGAAGTAGAAAGTACAGGTATTAGTGTTCAAACATGTAAGAAGTAGAAAGTACAGGTATTTGTGTTCAACATGTAAGAAGTAGAAAGTACAGGTATTTGTGTTCAACATGTAAGAAGTAGAAAGTACAGGTATTTGTAGTTCAACATGTAAGAAGTAGAAAGTACAGGTATTTGAGTTCAACATGTAAGAAGTAGAAAGTACAGGTATTTGTGTTCAACATGTAAGAAGTAGAAGTACAGGTATTTGTGTTCAACATGTAAGAAGTAGAAAGTACAGGTATTTGGGTTCAACATGTAAGAAGTAGAAAGTACAGGTATTTGTGTTCAAAATGTAAGAAGTAGAAAGTACAGGTATTTGGGTTCAACATGTAAGAAGTAGAAAGTACAGGTATTTGTGTTCAAAATGTAAGAAGTAGAAAGTACAGGTATTTGAGTTCAACATGTAAGAAGTAGAAAGTACAGGTATTTGTGTTCAACATGTAAGAAGTAGAAAGTACAGGTATTTGTGTTCAACATGTAAGAAGTAGAAAGTACAGGTATTTGTGTTCAACATGTAAGAAGTAGAAAGTACAGGTATTAGTGTTCAACATGTAAGAAGTAGAAAGTACAGGTATTTGGGTTCAAAATGTAAGAAGTAGAAAGTACAGGTATTTGTGTTCAACATGTAAGAAGTAGAAAGTACAGGTATTTGTGTTCAACATGTAAGAAGTAGAAAGTACAGGTATTTGTGTTCAAAAATGTAAGAAGTAGAAAGTACAGGTATTTGGGTTCAACATGTAAGAAGTAGAAAGTACAGGTATTTGTGTTCAAAATGTAAGAAGTAGAAAGTACAGGTATTTGTGTTCAAAATGTAAGAAGTAGAAAGTACAGGTATTTGAGTTCAACATGTAAGAAGTAGAAAGTACAGGTATTTGTGTTCAACATGTAAGAAGTAGAAAGTACAGGTATTTGTGTTCAAAATGTAAGAAGTAGAAAGTACAGGTATTTGGGTTCAACATGTAAGAAGTAGAAAGTACAGGTATTTGTGTTCAAAATGCAAGAAGTAGAAAGTACAGGTATTTGGGTTCAACATGTAAGAAGTAGAAAGTACAGGTATTTGTGTTCAAAATGTAAGAAGTAGAAAGTACAGGTATTTGGGTTCAACATGTAAGAAGTAGAAAGTACAGGTATTTGTGTTTAACATGTAAGAAGTAGAAAGTACAGGTATTTGTGTTCAAAATGTAAGAAGTAGAAAGTACAGGTATTTGGGTTCAACATGTAAGAAGTAGAAAGTACAGGTATTTGTGTTTAACATGTAAGAAGTAGAAAGTACAGGTATTTGAGTTCAACATGTAAGAAGTAGAAAGTACAGGTATTTGTGTTCAACATGTAAGAAGTAGAAAGTACAGGTATTAGTGTTCAACATGTAAGAAGTAGAAAGTACAGGTATTTGGGTTCAAAATGTAGGAAGTAGAAAGTACAGGTATTTGGGTTCAACATGTAAGAAGTAGAAAGTACAGGTATTTGTGTTCAAAATGTGAGAAGTAGAAAGTACAGGTATTTGTGTTCAAAATGTAGGAAGTAGAAAGTACAGGTATTTGTGTTCAAAATGTAAGAAGTAGAAAGTACAGGTATTTGGGTTCAACATGTAAGAAGTAGAAAGTACAGGTATTTGTGTTCAAAATGTAAGAAGTAGAAAGTACAGGTATTTGGGTTCAACATGTAAGAAGTAGAAAGTACAGGTATTTGTGTTCAACATGTAAGAAGTAGAAAGTACAGGTATTTGGGTTCAAAATGTAGGAAGTAGAAAGTAAAAAGTGGTCAGAAAAATAAGTAGTGGAGTAAAGTACTGATACCAGACACATGTACTTAAGTACAGTAACAAAGTATTTGTACTCCGATACTTACCACCTCTGCTCGTGATATTAAGATCAGTTTGACGTGAGTGTTGATGGTTAAACTCTCTCTGTGTTGTCAGAGGAGCTGTCGTCCTTCCTGTCTGACAGCGTGTCGGAGATGGAGCGCCTGATGGACGCCACCCACTACGACCAGGACTTTTACTGACGTGTGATGTCACTTCCTGTCACCTGACGCCGCCTGGCTTCCCTTCAGCGGGGACAGTACACACACTCAGGGACTGGAATATAACGTTTTATTATGTTTTCATTATAATCATCCCATATTAGTGACGAGGCTCAGCATGTTGAACGTGTTGTTGACGTCGCCGGTTCGAGCCCGAGTCTCCTGTTGCTGTGAAACTAACTTTATCGTTTTAATAAATGTTAAAACTACCAAACTGCTGTTTCTGTTCCTTCTCACTGACCTTCAAATAGCAGGAATGAGTCCTTCACCCTGACATGACTCACTTCCTGTCCCCTGGTCTGGAGGTCAATGGTTCTCTGAATGTGTTTTTGGTTGTTATCCTGAAATAAGGTCTGTGGTTAACACAAGCTGAAGAGATTTTAACGTTTTGTTCTACGTCAGTAAATACCACACTGGTGAATTTAAAAACTGGGGTTGCAAAAAAGCTAATAAAATGGGACCACTGGGAGTTGAAATATGGCCTTTTTCTGGTTTAAAAACCAGAAAAAGTGTAATAAATGGATGCAGCATTTTCAAAAATATGTGATTAGGGAGGCTGTGGCTCAGTGTACGCTGATCTTCGGATCAAGAGAGTACTGGTTCAATCCCCACTGCAGTCAGCATGACGTTGTGTCCTTGGGCAAGACACTTCACCCCAAATTGCTCCAGTAGGGACTGCCCACAGTACTGAGAGTATGTAAGTCTCTTTGGGTAAAAGGGTCTAACAAGAACATGTAATGCAATTTGATGATAATGCTAGTAAACACAAATGATGCTAATTGCACAAGTTATTATCCTGTACTTTCTGAATGCTGGGGACCCTACTTTTTCCACACCACACATGGACACTGGAGACTTATTTATGTATATAGTTTGGTGTATAGTTTTATAGTTATTTATATATATGCCGTGTTTGAGTAGTTACTCAAAGAAGGCAATGCATTACACGCTACTAGTTATTTTAGAATAACTCCATTAGTTACTCACTGCTGAAAGTAATTAGTTACATTACTAGGTACATTACTTTTGGATTACTCTTTATATTTTTCATTTAATTCTGGTAGTCTTCACCAGGAAGCTCGCTATAAATGTTGGCTAATTCCAGCTAGTTTGTGTAACCCATTATCTTTCTGTCGCTAGATCTTACAGAGGTTCCCTGAACGCCTCACAGACAAAGATTCCAGCTCAAAGGCTTAAGTCTCCTCCTCAGCAGCAGCACCGGAGCAGCTGTTAAGAGTTTGAATAAGTTGTTTAAATGTATAATTTCAATGTAAATTCACCGAAGAGAGCTGGCTACAGAGGAGCAGCTGCTTAACTGGTGAGAAGCTGTGGAAACAGGGACGACTCTGACGCCGTTTCTCCCAAATTAGCGACAGTGGCGGAGCCAGGACATTTTCAGTGGGGTGGCCAGGATGGAACCAACACATTCTCACTCCCAACTCGGCCTATGTTGACGTTATGTCAGGGTCCCTGTCGTCACTTTCCAACGCAAGGGGGGGCCCTTTAGCGTCGAGTTTTAATTTTCAGGGATGTCCATAGACTTCTATAGAGCTCCCCACACCAACGCGGTTTCAGAGCCGGTCCCAACGTATGTAGTAGACGAGTTGGGATCGCGGCGAAATGCTCTCCCCAGATCCATTCTCACAGCGTTTATCAACCTTTTTCTAACTCAATATCAAGACACACTTATTGTGTTTACTTCTTTATTTTAATTGAATAATGTCCGACTTTTGTTGCCGTCAGTTAGGGGGGAGAGTAGGGGCTCAGAAACCTGAGATCTGTATTGTTTCATAGGTTTTTCCTTCTAATTTTGTATTCTTTTCTAAACTACACATTGTTATTTACTCAACAATAAGACACTATTATCCTTGTGTTTATTTATTTGTTTGATTGTATAATGTCGGAGCAGCTCATAGTAGTTGCTTTAGAGAATTTTACACAAGTAAGTATTCTCTCCGCTATGTTTGACAAACCCTGTGATAGTCCTCAAGCTCTGTGATTGGATGTTTGAGTGGCAGTGCGCCGAGGGTTACGCCGAGCATCGAACAGCACTTTGAAATGGGATGAAACCACGGCAGACTATCCGAAACTGGATTCGAACGGGTTCAGCTCCACCCCCCACCCCGTCCCCAGAACTACACATGCCGCCTCTAAGCTTCGGAATCCGGTTCGTTTCAAGCACCAAAAAGTTGTCCGTGTAGAAGCAAGAACCGCATACGTCACATACGTTAGTTGACTACTCCTAAAGGACGTCATGAGATAAGTAAACTTTCAACATCTGGAACATAAAAGTATAGCATTCAGAGGCAGAACATGTGATATCGTGTGTTAGCTAATGTAAGGAAATGTGTGTGTGTCATGTCAAGAGTCCTATATATGTTTCTATAAAGTGCTACTGTTTGAGAGCATTGCTGTAGGACTGCTTGAGAGCAGAGGTAATGTTTTCCTCGTTATTATTGATTGTTGTACAACGAAATAATAATTGATCAACTATACCTGTGTTTGTGTTTTATTGATCCCTCTCCGTTTCATTCTTTCCTGTTGTGAGTGCGAAATTGCCACAACAGGACAGTGAATACTTTACAGCGGCCGCTGCTGTGAGCTAACGGGAGAATAAACTCCCGTTGAAGAGCAGCCAGCACTGCAGCGGTCGCTAAATGAAACACATGAATAAACAATGAACCACGGCACTCTGGAGAAAAGTATAAGGTTGGAGAAGTCGTTATTTAATTTAATCTGGCTTCGTATGATTAAAAGCAACACGATCATCGACCCGACGCAGTCCCCCATTGTTGTTGTAGTTAGCGCCGTTGGGGAGAAAATCAGCGACGTAAACGGTGACGTCATGACGCAGCAGCGGCAGCACCAGTCGGGCTCTGAGCGGTGTGAACAGAGCGGGAGCTAAACCGAAGAACCGGTTCTGAACCAGAAAAGCTCTAGCACGGAGCTTGAACGGGAAAAGCCTTGGTGTGAAAGGGGTATCTGAGACAGAAGATTTCAGAAGATGTGTCCTGGGTTTAGGTGCCCGGAGATGGCCTGATGTAGCTTGTCTAGTCCTATGGTCGTGCTCGTCTCTTGAGTAAACTATTTGATCATAAAAATACAATGTTTTTTTGCTAAATTTGAATTTTTTTTGAAAAGTGATAACATGAGATTGCAGACGTTTCTCAACCGGAAGCCATGATAGGTTTCTCTGCACAACTCCAATATGAGTGCGCTTCGAACAGTGGAGAGCGAGTCTGGCAGCCTTGTTTTGAGCTATTTGTAATTTCTGTATTTGTGACCTGCTCCATCGAAATCAGTCGCATTGACCCGAAGACACATTTTGAGTTGTATACACTGTTGGAAAGAGGAGATTCCTAGCTTTCTAATGATATCAGGATTGTTTTTGTACTCCAAATATTAAGCAAAATATGTCACATGATATAATGACTGTCACCGAGTCATCATTTTGAGAAAAAGGCCTTTAAAGTTTCCTCTTCTCTGGAATCCATCGATCTGATTGATTATTAGCGGCTAATAAATGATCAAAATACTACGGAAGGAAGATATGTTCGTTTGGATTACTGGTCTGGGGGAAGCTCGCGAGTGTGTGTGTGTGTGTTTGTATAATTTTGCACAATTTTGGCTGTTGTTATGCCTGCTGTGACGTTAAGTTACTCCGTTCTCCGCTTATTTATCATCTGAATTTGCCGAAACAAGTTTAATATTCTGAAAGCCAAGACTTTGTTTAATTGAAATCAGATGAAAACAAACTGTAACGGACCCTGCCGTGTTATCTATGATTACTATACGCCTTACATTCATAATGTCAGCCGGAGGGAGGAAGCGGCGCTGCGGAACAGCAGAGTGTGAGTGAGTGTCACGATCTGTTTGTGTTGTGTTTTGTCTTGTCTTTTTCTGTCTTTGGTTTCCTGTCTTATTTTGAAAAGTGTCCCGCCCTGTCTTGCCTGTTGCTTTCTGTCTGTTTTCCCTCCTATCTGATTGTCTTATTGTGTTCACCTGTTGCCCTTGTGTTTCTTCCTCCTTTACCCAGCTGTTTCTTGTTCCTTGATTACCCCTCCCTGTATTTAGTCTTGTCTCTTCCTGTGTTCCCCTGTCGGTTCATTATTTGTTTGTCCTCCCTTCACGTCACGCTTCATGTTTGTCTCTCCGGTCTTCCTCCATGTTTCTCACGGTCAGTTTTTGTGTTGTCGTTTTCTTTGCTACCGTTTCAAGTTATGCCATGTTTTGTCTACCAGCTTTTAAATAAAGCTCGCTTTTTGTTTCAAGACCTTTTTTCAGTTTTTGTAGTCTGCATTTGGGTCCTACCTTTTTCCGCGATCTTTACAGTGATCGTAACAGAATGAACCGACCAACATTGGACTCAGCAGATTCTGATTTTTTTATTCTCCAGGCGGAACGTCTTGGGTACTCTCTAGAGTACCTTTTTTATACCTGGTATGACGCCACATCTATACGGGGTAGAGTGGCTGCTTTGAAGGAGGCACGCCAGGAGGTTGCTCGCAAGCCCTGGCTCAGGGGTTTGTTGCCTGAGTGGCTACAACATTTTACATGTAGTCCTGGAAACTTTTCTCAAGCCTCTAACCCTTTCCTGGGATCCGACTACTGTCCTGTTGGAGGTCCACGGCGTCTCCAAAAGGCCTCTAAGAGACGCAGGGCCAGGATTCCAGCCCGTGCCCCAGCAGCCATGTTTCCGGCTCCAGTTTCGGCTCCAGTACTGGCTCCCCGGCCGACGCCAGCCCCCCGTGTTTTGTCAGTGGTTCGGCCCACTCCAGCACCTCGTCTCCTGTTGGCTCTCCGGCCGACGCCAGCCCCCCGTGTCCTGTTGGCTCTACGGCCGACGCCTACCCCATGTCCTGTACCGTTGGAGGTCCCGCCGACTACTCTTCTGCCGGGGGTCTTGCCAACCCTATGTCCTGTCCCGTTGGGGGTCCCGCCGACTACTCTTCTGCCGGGGGTCCTGCCAACCCTATGTCCTGTGCCGTTGGAGGTCCCGCTGACTACTCTTCTGCCAGGGGTCTTGCCAACCCTATGTCCTGTGCCGTTGGAGGTCCCACCGACAACTCTTTTTTTTGAGTTTGTTCAGCAGCAGACTGTGATCGATCACATCGGAAGCTGCGCTAAAGTCTAACACGACAGCTCCTACAAGCCTCCTATCATCCGTGCTCTTGAACCAGTCGTCGGTCATTTGTGCAAGTGCTGTA